TTTGGGATTGCAGGGGGCACTCATTCATCCCCCACAGTGTTTGGGATTGCAGAGAGTACCCATCCATTCCCTGCAGCATTTGGGATCACAGGGGCCACTCATCCATCCCCCCCAGCATTTGGGATTGTAGGAGGCACTCATCCATCCCCTCCCCATCATCTAGGATCACAGAAGGCACCCATCCACCCCACACAGTATTTAGGATTGCAGAGGACACCCATCCATCTCCCCCAGCATTTGGGATCGTAGGAGGCACTTGTCCATCCTTCCCAGCATTTAGGATCATCCATTCATCCCCCAGAGTATTTGGGATTGCAGGGGACACCCATCCATCCCCCACAGCATTTGAGACCTGCATCTGAGGGGACCCCAAAACACCCAGGGGGTCACAGCCTCAGCTGGGGTGACACAGTGCCAGGTACCACCCACATCTCCCAGTGCCTCCTTCAGGGATGGGAGCTGGGCCAAGGCAAAGAAACCACCAAAAAGGCAAATTTTCCCCACGTCCCTGACCCACGTGGCCACCTGGCCCCTTGGGGTGGCCACTCAGGGTGAACTAAAATGATGACAATTCCCATCCTCGGAGCCCAGCACAGCTCATTTCACCGACAGAGGGGAAGGCACCGTGGCCAGACTTCCCTTTTTTCTCCTCTCCTTTCCCCCCAGCAAAATTACTTCTGCTCTAACGAGATCAGCTCCATTTGGTCCAGGCCATGGCATGTGGGGGGTGACTGCTGACCCCCCCCGTGCCAGGGGACATGTCCCAAAGGCCACCTCATTAAGGAACAGGCCCTCGTTAACAAACACAGGCCCTTCCTCCCGCCCTCCCTTCACAAACAAAGAGCCACAGGACCAAAATAAAGAGGCCAGGACTAAAATTAAATCACCGAGGGGTTATTTTAAAAGACACAGAATGCCCATTAAGGCCATCTGGGAGCAGGGATCCACCTGAGCCTCCCTCATCACACAGGGCTTCCCACACGCACAATTTTCCCCCATTAATTTTCTTCCCGGTGTTGCGGCATCGCAAAAAGCAGGTTCCAACCGCTCGCTTTTGTGCTAATTATATCCTCCTCTGCTGTAAATATCTGGACTTTGATTCAAGCCCAGGGTGTGGGTTGGGTTTGTTTTTTTAAACACAGGAGAAGCAGAGGTACTTGAAACAGTCAGAGGGCAGAGTTAAATGGGATATTGGGAAGGAGGGTGGGCAGGCCCTGGCACAGGTTGCCCAGGGAAACTGTGGCTGCCCCTGGATCCCTGGAAGTGTCCAAGGCCAGGATGGACAGGGCTTGGAGCAACCTGGGCTAGTGGAAGGTGTCCCTGCCTATAGAGAGGGTGGAACAAGATGGGCTTTAAGGTCCTTTCCCACCCAAACTATTCCATGATTCTATGATTATACTTGTCCCTGCATCCCACACGGGAGCATCTCCTGGCACTGGGAATATCCTGGAGCAGGGAGCTCCAAGCGGAGGTGGCTGGGGGTTACAAACACCCTCAGCAGCCCCTCTCTTTTTTTAAAAGAGGATGTTTGTGGTTGTCAGTGAGATTTTTTTAATGCATCCCAATAAAACGGCAGCACAGCCCCACCTGGGTGCTCCCCCAGCAGCACCAGTGCACAGGGAGCTCTAAAGGCAGCAGGACAGACAAGGTGACAAAAGGGTGACAAGGGGGTGACAGCCTGCACAGTCCCACAGCAGGTCACCAGCCTGCTCCTCCCTGGGCTCTTGATCCATCTGGGATGCTGCCAGGCAGCTCCAGGGGATGCTCCCAGGTACCCAAGGACAAGGGGGGGCTGCACAGCCCCTCACAGAGAGATGCAGCAAGGACTTGGGGGTTCCCCAAACACCTTCCACTTGTTCCCTGTTAACCCACCACCACTTCCAGGGATCCCCTCCAAGCCCCCACCCCACTGGGTGCTCAGCACACACCAGGGGCCAGCAGCTTTCCCAACCAGGGCAAAAGCAGGGCTGCAGCAAAACCTGTGCAAACTGCCAAATTCCAGCTTTTAAAGCTTAGCTTAAGTCCTGCCAGCAAAGCTGGAAGCAGGGATGGAGAGGAGGGGTGTCCAAAGGCGAGGAGGGGGGGACAGGCAGGACCACTCCCAGCAGCCAGAGCGTTGATGCACTATCCCAGCCAAGGGTTATTTTGGAGCTGTATCCAGATGTTGGCATCACACAGCCAAAATCTGCTCCAAAAATCAGGATGAGAAAAACCATTTCCAAACCTCCCGTGAAATGTGAGCTGCAGAAGCAGCCCCGAGGCACCTCCTGGTTGAGACTTCAGTCCAAAACAGGATTTGGGTGCACATCAATATCGTGCATCACTCCTTTAATCCTTCCTCTGATCCTCAGTTTAAGGTTGGTTTGACACAAGAAAGGTCCAGGTGAGCTGTCACCCCCCCTTTTGTCACCACAAATAACACATCAGCCCCTCTGTGCCCCCCCCAGCTCAGCTGCAGCAACACATTATGTTTTCATTTTCAGGTTTGCTTTTAGAAAAGAGCCCAAGTGCTCTGTGGCAAAAGAGAAAAGACTCAAAAAGCACTAAATAATAATTCAATCAAATAAATGAAGAAAGAAACAAGGTTCCAGCACCATTCCCTAAGGAAAACCCACCAACTTGCTTTGCAGAAGTCAATGATGAGGGTTGAGCTGCAAAACCAGCACAGAGAGCCTTGGACCCTCCCAGGGAATCCTCCTGGGGGGTCTCCAGGTGAATTTTCCCACTTGTGGGATCAAAAACTTCCTTGGAATTCAAAGTAGGTCTTCGAGGATAAATCAAACCCTCCAATAACCTCAGCTAAGAGTTGGAGAGCAAAGGATTTTCCCCCACAGAATTTTCCCCCAGCTCCAGGTGAAGTCCTGCTCACCTACACCTCTCCCCATCACGCTGCCCATCCCAAGGGTCCTGCCTGCCACTGATCCTTCCAGGAAAAACCCAAACAGCCCTGCAAGAAGAGGAGAGAAGAACCCACTCCCCCTGCTTCCCTGTCTCAATGAGTTTTTCCTCCTACAAAACCACTGAGAGATAAAAATAAATAAAAAAAAAATAATTCCAAGAGCTCTTAGAAGGCAGTGGAAAGCAGGCAGGATGACAGGGAGAGGGCGGCTCTGGCAGACAAGAGGTGCCAAGGGACCAGGTCTGAGCACTGCAGCATCTGTCTCCAGGAAATCCCGTTGGAAAATGAAGCTGTCAGTGCCTCCACGTGGGTCAGATCCTTCTCCATCTTAGGGCAGGCACAGGAATCAGGGATTCAATCCCTACTTCTGCCCTGAGCATCTCCCAGGGAAGCTCCAGCACCAAGAGCTGATCTCCCACCGCCTTGGACAACCCGCAGCAATTCCCTCAGGAGCCAAAAAAGATCAGGCTTCATTTTGCAAGGTTTTCATGGATGTGGAGCAGGAGCTGGTTGGGAAGCAGAGCTGGAGCTGCCAGCTGAAGGAGTGACAGGGAGGGGATGGAGGGACATCAAAGCTCACCAGGGTGGGGACAAGAGCTCGGTCACCCCCCAGCTCAGTGACGGGGCTGTGCAGGGAGTGAAAAGCCAAGCAGGGCACAGAAACTCCAAGTCACAGAGGGTTTCCTAATGCCACTGAGTTTGGAAGGAAAAATCTAGGAAAAAGCACCATTTGAGGGAAAAAACCCACCCATCAATACGTTATTTTAGCCCTTCCAGTGCCTGAAGGGGCTCCAAGAGAGCTGGAGAGGGACTTGGGACAAGAGATGGAGGGACAGGACACAGGGAATGGCTTCCCACTGACAGAGGGCAGGGATAGATGGGATATTGGCAAGGAATTCTTCCTGTGAGGGTGGGGAGACCCTGGCCCAGGTTGCCCAGAGAAGCTGTGGCTGCCCCTGGATCCCTGGAAGTGTCCAAGGCCAGGTTGGAGCAACCCGGGCTAGTGTAAAGTGTTCCTGCCCATGGCAGGGGGTGGAATGAGATGATCTTTAAGGTCCCTTCCAACTCCAACCATTCTGGGATTGCAGCCTCACACCTGCCCTCCCTGGCTCCCCACTGCTCCTTACAAAAAAAAAAAAAACAACAACAATAAAGGGATGAAACAAAAAATAAAAATCACTATTGCAACGTGGGAGAGACCCATCCATCATTTTTAGGTGAAAGAGAGACAAGTCGAGAGAGGGGAGGAAAAAAAAAAACCAAACCAAACAAGAAAGCAAAAGGCAAGCAGGCTGGAAAGGTAGAGGCAGGTGGCCAGCAGCCAGCACCCGCTCCAATAAATCCTCTGCTTCTTGAAACTGGCTGATCTCCAATAAAAACTCATTTTAATCTAAGACCACGAGACTCCTTTGGAAAGTGTTCCCTGGAGAGGCCCCAGTGCTGTGAAATCCCCCTCAGCCCCTGCAGGACCGAGAGGGGCCATCAGGCTGCAGGAGCCTCGTGCACAAAACGGGGTGAAACCACCCAAAACCAGGGGCCCTGCACCCACTGGGTGCCCCAGGACCTGGAGAAAACAGTATCTGCCTGGTATTAGGGGATGAGCATCCCTTTGGGTGTCACTGTCCCTCACCAGGAGGTTTGGGTGCTCTTCCCAGGGCACCATCCAACCTGGTTCAGTCACATCCGCTTCCCCGTCGAGCCTGGAGTTCATTTCCTAAATTCTCTCTGCATTCCTTTGATCCCCCATCTCTTGCTGACCCTCAGTTATTTCCTCAAGCAGGGAGAGCACCCCCCTTCCACTCTCAGCCCCCTGCAAGCCCCCAGGCTTTAAACAGTTCACTGCAGATTGAAATGACAGCTGAAAATCGAGCAGAAAACTCAACTAATGACACGTTTCAGACTCTCCATCACAAGCCACCTCAAGCCCCAGCTCTGCTTCCCCCCTCTCTGCCCAGGGAAACCCCCCCTGGACACACACACCAATTAGGACAGAGCAGTTTAAAGCAATTATTTGAAAAATCATCAAAGCAGTCTCACAGGCAGGCTGAGGGTCATTTGCCCTCACCCAGCACCCAGGACATGCCAGTGAGGACAGGATGGAAGGAAAAGGTGGTGGGAAAAGGTAAAGGAAGAGGAGAGTTAGTGGAGGGAAAAAGCCAAATTAAGCCCTGGCATGAACAAGGCACAGGATAAACAGCTGGAGGCAGATTGGTGGAGCAGAAAAGAGTTTTCTGTGAAGCAGGTAATATTTTAATAAATAAAAAAAGGTTGTTTTTAGTGTCGAGCCCTAAACCAGCTCTCCTCTTTCTGCCCATCCTCAGCACAGGACCAGCCCTCCAGGCTGGGCAGGAGATGGAGCCTCAGGACCAGGCAGGAGCCAGCAGCCCCAAAAACAAGGAGCATCCCAAGCCCAGTGCATCTCACAGAGCAAATGGGTTCAGGGACAACTCAAGGGGGTCACGGTGGGACAGATTTGGGAGCAGGGAGCAAGTAAAGCCCCCAAATGCCACCCAGGTACAGTAACCACAGCATCCTCATGGGAGAGGGGAGCTCCCCACAGCTGCCTGACTGGCTCTGCTCCCCCAGCCTGGCCATCAGAAAGGAGATGGACCCAGAAAATAACAAAAAACAGCTTAAAAGCAATGAGATTTATAAAAAAGTCCATTTGCATTTTCTTCCTTTACAGTTCCCAAGACTTCGGAGATGCCTCCAACTCCAAGCCCTTCCCTACACTTGAAAGAGCCAGAAACATGTTGTATCCCCCTTTTCCACATCTCCCAGAGGCAGGAATTTCTCATGAGCCTGCAGGAGACAACAGTGAGGGAAGAGCAGGCGTTGGCTGCAGATCCTGGGCACGGAGAGCAGCTCCAAGGGTGCCCCTTTAGGAGGGGATCTGGGTGCATCCTGGCTGCCAGCAGCTGCAGAGGAGGAATGTGGCATCACTGGAGATGCTGCCAAGATCCATGGGAAGCACAGAAAGCCACCTGAGCTGCTGCAGGCAGGGAGACAGCGGACATCCCAGGCAGAGGGGACATCCCCCACACAGCCCTCAGCCAGCCCAGGGACCAGGGCTGCCAACCCAGCCATGGCAGAGGTCACATGGAGAGGGGAAAAAAGCTGGGAATCTTGGCTTTCCACCCCAAAAACACATCTAGACTGATGAGAGGCTCCCCCAGGCACTGCCAGATGGGGGGTGGCACGGGGTTACACGGCATGGCAGGGACATGGAGGCACCTGGAGCCACACAATGTCCCTGTCCCTGCTGGGCTGTTAGATCCCTCCTCCCCCAGCAGCAACGGGGTCCCACCTTCCCTGTCCCCAAGTGTCACCCTCCCCCAGGGCCACACACATCCTGCCTTGCTGTGCTGAGGACTGACACAGCTCATCACACCACGCCCACCCTGCCCACACAAGCCAAGCCCAAATTTAAATTCCAAGCAGGAATTAAACCAAGAGAAGCCACACAGTGCAGCCCTGGTGTGCAGGACAGAGAGGTGGGTGGGGGACAGAGGTCCCCAGAGGCACAGGGGGCACCAGGACTCACCGTGAGGCAGGTCAGGCGTCAGGTGAGGCATCAAATAGCTCCGGATCAGCTCCCACTCGAAGTCATCGTCCTCGCCCTGGCTGTACTCGCACTGGTTCGGGTCACTGTCCTCCTCAAAGGTGCAGCCAGCTGTAGGGAGAGTCCTGTCAGTGCCTGCTGAGACCCCACAGAGCGACTGCTCCCTCCCCAGAAGCCCCACCAGGGTGGTGTCCTGCCCCCCAGAAGGCGGGGGGGGTCAGACATCCCCCCGTGTGCTCTCGTGAGCAGGGGATGGTGCTGAGTGCTGCCACTGCCCCGCTGCTCCCAGGCACTGCCCCACCAGTGGAATGAGCTGGCAGGTCTCAGCACCCAGGGAGGCCTCAGCCACGGCAGCAGGATGCAGCTCCCAGCTTTGCTTCCCAGGGGGTGGTCACTGAACCAGGGGTTTCTCCCCCCCCAAAAAAGGCACTTGGCTGTGGTGTCCACACAAAATTCCTGCTTTGGCCCCAGCCCTCTGCCTGTGCACTGACCTTGGGCTCTTGGGGTCTGTCCATGGCCTGACACGAGGGTGGCAGGTCTGAGCAGGGACCTCCAACACCCCACAAATGCCCCACTGAGCCCCCCCAGCTGTGGGACAGCGCTGCTGAGTCCTTTTATAAGTTATATTTTATTAGGTATTTATCTGCTGGGGGTTGGGGTTGTTTTTTACCCTTCGCAAAGGCAAAAGCCAGGCACCACCT